GTAAGTGTCAACGATGGTTCAGCAAATTTCGTTCAGGTGACTTTAGCCTTAAAAACTGTAATGGCAGGGGCCATCTCGTTGGAATTGACATTAATGCTCTGAAGACACTTGTTGAGTCTAACCCAAGGCAACACACTCGTGCAATGGCCCTGACATTGCATGTCTCTCATGAATCAATACGTAAACATCTAAGGAATATGTTAAAACTTCATAAAGAAGGTGTTTGGGTGCCTCATGAACTCTCTAATCATCATTGTTTCCAACGTATGAACGTTGCTTCGTCTCTTCTGGTATGTAATGCACATGAACCATTTTTGGACAGAATTGTCATCGGTGATGAAAAATAGATGCTCTATGCAAATATTAAATGCCAAAAACAATGGCTCAGTCCTACACAAAAACCACTTCCAAACCCAAAACTGGACTCCATCTGCAGAAAGTGATGCTTTGCATTTGGTGGGACATCAAAAGAGTAATTCATTTCAAACTCCTCAATCCACAGTGAATTGTCAATGCAGAGATCTATAGTCAGCAACTGGAACATTTAAATCAAGCCCTTCATCAGAAACGCCCTTCAGTTGTCAATCAGAAAGGTTTTCCTCTCCACGACAATGCACGTCCACATGTGGCACGTTTGACGCAACACAAGATTATGGAGTTAGGTTGGGAAGTTCTCCACCACCCACCATATTCTCCAGATATGGCACCATCAGATTACCATATTTTTTGTTCGCTGCAACACCATTTTAATGGGAAGACATATGCAAATGTGGAAGGTGCTAAAGAGGACATCGACATGGTTTTAGCTTCAAAGCCAAGTGATTTCTTTAATCAGGGCATTAACAACCTGATTGTAAGATGGAAAAGCATCATCGATAAGAATGGAGACTATTTCATTTAATAAATGTTTTGTTTTAATATATAAGGTGTTCGGGTTTTTTCATCTAGAAAAAGCAACATTAATTTCTTGACGACCTGATATTTTCTGTAAGTAAGAGCGTATAAATATATTTTCCTGAATTGCAAGAAGATAATATTCTTTTAGCATCATTAATTCCTTTATTAAAGTGTACGTTCTTTATAATAATTTATAAAAATGTTTAGTAGCTTTTTTTCGATGATATTAGGTTTTGTTACATCGAATATAAAAAAAATGGATAACTGTCTTTCAATGGTATTTTTTTTTGTATGATAAAGTAATTTTGTACTGCTCTGTATTTTAATTACTTTTATTTTACAGGTTTATATTATTGGACATATTCCTCCAGGGGCTTATCCTCGTGGGTTTTTTCCAGAAACTGGTCCAAACTTCTTTTATTTTCATTCATTCAACAAGAAGTTTACCCATATTGTAAACACTTACCATGATGTTATTGTTGGCCAGTTCTTTGGTCATCTTCATCTCGATAGCTTCATGCTGTTCTCAGATAATCGTAAGTATAACTTTTTGCTCACTGTAACAGAGACATATTTGACCTACGTTTACGACTAATGACTGTAGTGTGAAGAAATGATATTGCTAATACTGGTTACCAAAAATCATAATACACACGCAAAAAAAAAACATTAATATAAAACAGGTAACAGATTTTTATTTGAAATTTGGTAATATATATAATAGTTTTAAGCTAAGTGCCACCAGAAATTAGAGATACATTTTCTCTGTCAGCTTGCTTTTGGTCTAGCTCTTAATCAATCACCTTGAACATTAACCTTAATTAATAGAGACCAATTAGAAATAAATTTTAAGTTCAATAATTGGGAACTAGTTAGACGTATAAATGGGAATGTAAGCTTGTGGTCATTTGAATTAACCATGATCAACGTTGAGACAAGCTATTGTATTCTGTAGAACTTAAATATTTTATTAAGACATGGTGCTGTGTTTATAATGGTATTCTGACATCAACATTGTTAATCTTTAGATGTGTGATTGTAGTTTTAGTGTTGGATGTAGTTGAAAGTCTAGTTAAATGTGGAAGTGGGTTGCTTTAGTTCTTATTGATGATCAGCTGAGAATAATTCTTTTGATTATAAACACTGCAGCCAAATATTCGACACTAAAAGTTCAGCTTTCAAGCTCAAACTAAAATGTTTCCCCAAAACTGTACCTCCAATACGAGGCATAAAATTAATGCTTTCTGCTGTGAAAAACAGTTATTATAGAAACACATGTGAAGTTATAGTTGAAAGTAGAAACAAGTTGGAGATTATCTTATGAAAGACAATAGCTTTTATTGGATAACGTGTCCCAAGTTATACTTTATAATATTGTTTACAGAAATAAATGTGTTTCATTAGGGTCCGGTTCTTTAATTTATGTATTGTTACATGTCCGACTCTGTGACAATCTACAGTTTATGTTTAAATAATCATACACGACTTCAAATAAAACTTTGTTTTATGGGTTTTTCAGGAAAATAAGTTTATTGTATTTCATCAAAATAAACCAAAGGTTATACATTATGTTGACTAAGTGATAAAGGCAACATTCTTCCGTATTGACTGATACAGTTGTCTGTTTACATCTAATTACCGTTGGATGGAGTCATTAAAGATAAACTCCTTCATTACAAAAAGAAAAAAAGAATTCTTTACGAAATCAAAGGTTATTAGAACAACTTATGTTGTTTTAGAATGTCCAGTTCTACAGTTTGTTTACGGTACCATACATATTAGATCACATTGAATGTAAACAATACATTAGGACTGAACTTTTTGGTCAGTGCCCCTTCAGTTGTAAATACTAAATTTATATGACATGAGAACCTTATTACTTTTCCTCATCTAGAAACTGTCCTGAGCTCCCTCTTTCTCAGCCCTGCTGTGACTCCCTGGTACGAGCCAAACAAGGAATTGTATTCTCCTGTCAACCCTGCTGTCAGGTTGTACAAGTACAACAGAACCAGTGGAACCATTCTAGACTACAGCGTATATTTTTTGAACCTTACTAAGGCAAACAGCCACAACAACCAGGGTGATGTAAGTATATTTTGTTTGACTTCTGTATCTTGAGCTTTATTTCAAGATACTAAGCGATCAGATCAAAGAACATTTTGATCATTTTCAACTATTTGTTAAAATTTCAATAGTCGTATGTAATTTATAATTTTTTTGACTCACTTTAATAAGATGTTTTATTACAGATTTAAATGTGAATGTTTTGTTAGGCTTGTTTATTTATGATTGTAATACCATAAAAAACATTAACAGTAACTACTTATAGTTGTGAATTTGTTAGAAGAAATTAGTTACTGGGTGTAAAAGTTGCAACCAAATCCTAGATACCAGGTCTGTTTTAAGTAGATCTTTCAGGGTTAACTTTCCCATGATACTTCCTATCATTATCACATGTATAATGGAACCAATGGCTGCTTTTTTAAATTACAGAGATAACTTATGAAATCTAAACGTCGGAGTGTCCTCCAGGATCTTTGTAGAACATAACTCAAAACATATTAGTATTCATTTGGTGTAAATTAAATCAGTCCGTTATTTTGCCTTTCAATTTTTTCAACACTCTCAGATTTTAGTTCTTTAAATCATTTTTGAAAGTCTATATTTGTCTTATTTTTAAGTTTAAACCTTAAGTTGATGATTTTAAGAACAACTGTTAGTCCATTCGATCAACACCAACTAACTTAATTTTTAGGATCTTTCATCTATTTAATCCTATCGAAGTTGAAACGACTGGGCGTAGTTAGCTTTGCAGGTTGTCGATGGTCCAAGGTTCGAGTCAGAGTATGCTATTCAGTGAAAAGAAGTTGTAATTCTATCTGTTGTCACTCTTGCTTCTGTTTTTATAATTGTTTTCCAAAAAAACACCTTCATTGGCGTTTCCATCACCTCCTGTTGGTAACAACGTTGATACGTCTTCCTGTATCTGGTTAATTACTATTTGGTAGTCTTCATCGTTTATTCGTCTGTATGTTGGTAACAACGTTGATACGTCTTTCTGTATCTGGTTAATTACTGTTTGGTAGTCTTCATCGTTTATTTGTCT